TTCACCACGGGGCCTTATAGCTAGATATTGTTGCATGTGAAAAAATAAAGCAGATGTTTCGCTACTGAATGCTATTTGTACTGTTGCACCTTTACAAAGCTGACCAGTTTTGGAACCCTTTAAGAAGAACTGAATTTCTGTGTCGGATACTCTGACATCGCAAAATGATAGTGTAGTTGCCTTACTGCTAGAAACTGTAAATTCGCTAACTCTGAGTAAGCCAAAAAAAGCCAATTTAAATGCAGATGCAAATAGTGTAGCCTCATAATCATTTGAGCAAAGCGTTGGAGTGCAGAAATAATTTGATTTAGCATGGGTAATGCAATTGGTGCCCGAACGTCTTTAGATGGTTTTAATCTATGTAAGCCCTCAAGCATTTTCTTCACTATAAACGCTTTTGTATTATCATCCTTCCCTTGTATTTGAAGTTGATAGCTAATGCCACTCAAGTAACACCTAGCAGTCGAATATGATACTGAAACTGCTGAAAGATACGCTATATAATTAACAAATTGGTGAACTGGTGGGGGCCATAGCAAGGGGAGATTATATTTTTTCCTGAACCCGGCAAAAGAATCCAAGCCCCTTTGGTATGTAGTGGCGGTATTTTGTGACACTGCTGCAGAAAGAATGTCCTCTACCTCAGGTTTAAGAGATTCAATAATGTAGGAGGGATTTGTGCCGAAAACTTGTCCGCATTGGGGGCTAGGTTTCTGAATCTTGACCACTGAAAACGAGAGATTGAATCAGCTATAGAGTTTTTATAACCTGGGATATGGACACATTTTATCTGAATGTTATTTTTTATACACAACAGAACTAGAGGTCTTAAAAGGTACATGACTCTTTGAGATTTGCTTGATTGTGAATTGATGATGTGAACCAATGCCATATTGTCAGTATTGATGAGTAATTTATGAGAGATAAAATGATCAGACCAAATCCAATAGCAGTCAATATGGACTCTAACTCTAGGAATGTGATATCGCGACGTATTTCAGGACACCATGTGGTAGGCCATGAAATGACTGCCCAGTGATTATTGAAAAAGGCCCCTCCACCGCAGGAACCACAACTGTCGGTGAAGAGGTTGAGGGTTTCATTAGTAGACCAGTCTAGGGATGGGAATGGTGTTTGGCCATTATAGCTTGCCAGAAATTCCAACCAGACCTTTGCATCTTCTTTCAACTGAGAAGTAACTCTTATAAGGAAATGGGACTTTCTAATGCCTATCGTTGCGTTATAAAACCTACGGTTAAAGGCTCTACTTTCTGGTATAGCTTTGGCAAAGAAATTTAACGACCCGCACAAAGACTGCATTTCTTTTAATGAGACTTTTTAAGAATAGATCAGGGTGGTAAGTTTGGCCCCACGTTCAACGCATTTGTCTGATGGAATAAAAATAGTTTGTTTTATAGTATCAATACCTAGACCAAGAAATGAGAGCATAGTCGTCGGCCCCTCTGTTTTCTTAGCGTTAATTGGGACACCTAGTTCCTCACAGGTAGATTGAAATATTTCTGATAACTGTGAACAATTAGGGGTATCCACCTTTCCCGCAAACAAGAAATCATTTAAATAATGTATAATATTTGAACTATGAGCCCTCTTTGAAACTAACCAATGAAGGAAGGATGAAAATTTTTCAAAGGTTGAGCACGCTATTGAGCAACCAAAAGGCATACACTTGTCTATATAAAGTCCCGTTATGGAGACAAATAGAGATAAAAAGTTCAGGGAAGATAACTCTCACTCAAATGCACTGACTTCATTTAGCCACATCCATTACGCATGTGCATTTGCTCTTCCTTTCCATCTTCCGTCATCCATTGAAGCTCAGCCACCTCAGTATTTATTGGAATTCATATTTTTTTTTATATAAAAAAAATGTTTTCCCCATAGATTTCAATGCAATCTTTGTTAATTAACTACTGCTTAGTAAATGACATTTTTGACTCTCGCGGGCAATCCATTTTTACTATAAAATGCTTTAATTAAATATCAGAGTATTATGTACTTGAATATTTAAGGGTAGAGAATTTGGTCCTATTAGGGATGGAAATCCTTAATAGCTTCAGTCGTTTCAAATTGTATGAGCCCTTCTGTACCTATCGGAAATCAGTTGGATCTATGAGTTGCGGAAATGTAAGGAAAATAAATCATTTCATTTTGTCAAGTCAAGCAAAGCATATAAGACGAGGATCAGAGTTGTGACAAATGAGATTTCTGTTTTCATTATTGTTTTCAGTACAGTGTATTTGTAAAGAATGTTATTCCTGCAGAGTGGAATTCTTCAATAATGTAACTTCATCTGACATTTAAAAATACACAGTTAATTGAATGTTCATTTTCTATTCTTTAATAAAACCAGGGATAAACATGTATTGGAAATCAGAAATGAATGATGCATCATTCGGCTCAGGATAATTGCATATGAATTATTGATACTGTGATCAAGTGTGTCATAGGGATAAATATTTAGACCAAGTAAGTTACACTATAAAATGGACCAATTTAATCACCGAGAAAATTCAAAACAGGAGAGCTAAGTCAAATCTAAAATTAGAGTGACATTACTTTATAAAATGAATTATATGAGTGTAATTTTTTGGATGTGTATTATTTCCGTGAAAGCAGGGCGTAGGTTACTTGGATTCGATTTCAAAAGAGAAAGCCCGGTGAGCAAAAAAGAATGCTTGAAGTTGTGTTTCGTCCATAGCGACTGTCTCTCCATTAATTTTAGTAGAACTCGCCTTTTATGTGAGATGAATTCACAACAGGAATCTGGAAATCTTGCCGTCACGGAAAACACAAGTGAAACGGAGGACTTCATCTACATCTCGAGGCAATCTATTTCTCCGGTACGTTCTTTGTAGGGAGAAAATTCATTTTCTATGTAAATAAAAAAAAATGGGGGGGGGGGGAGGGGGGATCAAAACTTTCTGCAATGCAAAATATACAATTAACTTTTAAACGAGGGCTGTTATATGAAGTGTGGGAAGATCTCTATTTTAAGAAATTAGTGTATCTTTGCAAAAATTAATATTTAACCTGTCAGTACAATATTTATGATACATCATTCGGCCAAATTTTGAATTTCAGTGGAGGGGCTCTTTTATTGCCAATTAAAGATTATCAATGCGTAAAATTAATAAAGCAGGCGAGAATGGCAACCAAAAAAAATGTTCTGCGTCATCGAGATTATTAGAGCATGGATCTATTAATTTAAAAAATCTACCAACAGAAAAATATCCAAGACACTAGAATTTTTAAGATGCTGTAGAAACTGCCTATACATATCTAGGACAAAAGATTTTATTAGAATGGTAGGGTAGACATATTTGATGACCCAGTCCATTCGCTATTCCAAGATCCCATGGACTTTGCTCCTGTGGATCCCAAAAAGGACATTTCAGACAGAAAAAATTATGTCTCACTATTGACGTCATTCCATTTTCAAGGATGGAACAGACATTAACAGTCTATAGAACTGAAACGTATTTAAAATTGTGAACAAACTTAACTGGAATCAAGTGATTGCTCCGTGAATCTCATTACCACACAATGAAAATCATATATTTTCAAAATTTTCGTATATTATGAAATAATTCTTACATATTAATTATCAAAAAAAAAAAAAATTAAGCCGTTCTTTAAGTGTCTCCCTCGAGCCCCCCCCACCCCCACACACACTACTCTTCGGCCAAGTTTTGAATTTCAGTGGAGGGACTCTTTTATTGTCAATTAAAGATTATCAATGCGTAAAATTAATAAAGTAGGCGAGAATGGCAACAAAAAAAAGTGTTCTACGTCATCGAGATTATTAGAGCATGGATCTATTACTTAAATCTACCGAGAGGAAAATACCCAAGACACTAGAATGTTGTAAGATGCTGTAGGAACTGCCTATACATATCTAGGACAAAAGTTTTTAAATGGTATTAACGAAGATGGGGGGATAAGGCGGGCAGAATGCCTACAGCGCGACAGATAAGAATTAAAAAAAATTTAATCTCAATTATATCCAAATTTTATTTCATATTTCATCTAATATTAAAGTATACTTAATGTTAAATCGCTATAATTTACAAAAATCTCACAAAGACTGAAAATATTTGCCATTGAAAAAGCAAACACAGACTTTAAAGAACAAAAACGATCATTTTTTCATACTTTAACAAACTTTTTTAATATGAGTGGGTCTTCGCTCCATTTTTTTGAAAGATAATCCTAAAAGTTTGCGATAAAATAAATTTTTTGTTTTTAACAAAAAAATGGAGCGAAGACCCACTATACCTTAAAAATACACTTTTATGACAATACATTCGCACCTTTCCGAGAAATACTTCAAGTCCATTAATTCAAGGGTCGTATCACAAACATGATTTAAATGCCCTTAATCATCATGAGTCATGTAGCATAGTGGTTAGCGCGTTAGTCTCAAAGCAATATGATACTTCGGTATTCTGGGGTCGAATCCCACGTATACCATCTAATATTTTTTTTTATATGAAATTTTAGAGATTTATTTTCTCTCAGAAAATGTTTTTCTCATAATTTCATAAATACCAATAATGAGAGGTAAATTTAACTACTCAATTTACATATCAAATGCGATTTCTTAATATCTGACGCTATAAGCATTCTGCCCGCCTTACCCCCCCCCCCCCCCCCCCCCCCCCATCTTCTTTGTTAGAATGGTAGGGTAGACAAATTTGAAGACCCTGTCCATTCGCTATTCCAATATCCCACGAACTTTGCTCCTGTGGACCCCACAAAGGACATTTCAGACAAGAATAATTATGTCTCACTATTGACGTCATTCCATTTTTAAGGATGGAACAGACATTAACAGTCTTATTTAAAAATGTGCAAAAACTTAACTGGAATCAAGTGATTGCTCCGTGAATCTCATTACCACACAATGAAAATCATATATTTTCAAATTTTTCGTATATTATGGAATTAATTCTTACATATTAATTATCAAAAGAAAAAAAAGAATTAAGCCCTTCTTTAAGTGTCCCCCTCGACCCCCCCCCCCCCCCTCTGAATACAAAATGCATTGATTCATTCAGAAAACAGCTTTAATGTGCGCCCATATGAAATTATTATATTTTTAGGATGTAATATCCATCACAGGAGCTTGCAGTACTGTTGCATGTCTACCAGGAAAGAGATGTATAGTTCTACGCTCGGGGAAAACTACATGTATTAATTCAAGTTAGTATATATATTTACAATTCTTTTTTTAAGATCACATTATACAACTATCAAGTCGAAGATAAACCTTATTGTATCATAGTTAGGGGTGATTTTTTTTTTGGAAACAGTGTGAGTTATCTGTACATAATCAACAATATTATATGGGGAAACTACTACAAGTTTTACATTTTCAATGAGGAATATAGCAGCTCTTTTCAACAGGAGGAGACTACTTAATTAGATGCTAATCTCTTATTAAGAGTCAAAATCAGCAAGCATCGAGCATTTAGTTAAAAAATGTGGAAAGTGGCATAGAAACAGATTTGGTTAAAACTCATATATAAATTTTCAGAACAAAGAGTATAATAGAAAAAAGCAAGCCAAAAATAATTTTTCGCATTGTTGCTATGGAAACCACGCGCCTTTCAAATAGCGTGTTTTGTACTTTATCATGACACTTGAATTTATGGTTAAACAAATATTTTTTTATTACTAGTCATTAATAAAAGCTTTTTAAATTATTATTCTATTTATCTAAAAATACTCTATTTTAACAACTGTTGATTATTGAAATTCTCTTCACCTTTTGATAAATAAAACTAGTTTTTGGAGGTTTATTTTGATTTAAAAAACAGCAAATTTGCAGTACTCTATAAGAAATCTACAACCACATTAAAGCTTATCAACATAAAATAAATATTAAACAGTTTTTGTCCTAGAAGAATCAAGAAAAAAATCTGCAGGCAACTAAAGCATTTATATATGATAACTGATTTAAATCCATAATTTTCTGTCTTTTTTGCTTCAAATTACCTCCCTTTGGTATAGCTCTCTAACATAAGAGGAATAAACGGTAGTTTCCTTACATTGTTTTCAATAACAGTGTACAGAAGACTAGAAGAAAATTACAAACTTGGAGCAGTCTGAGCCTCAGTTTTGGCGTTTTCATGAGTCTTAATTACGGTAAGTGACTGAATTTTTTACAATTTACCATTACAACAGTTTCTGAAGAATTTATAACAGAAATTAACCATGCAGGAAAATATGTAACACTTGGCAACTGTTTTTTTTTTTGCACATTTCAATTTTAAAATTCTGATGGATTTATATGTTAGCATTACTTTAGTATTTTATAACTAAAAAGAAAAAAATATGCATGGCCTGAGGAACCAAGAGGAGGGGGTATGCCCCTCCTTCCCCTCCCCGATAATATTGCCGATATTAAACTATATAATATGATAATTAAAATGAAATTAAATTCCCCAACTTAGATTGTTTCTGCAGGCCGAACGTGAAAAAGTTGGTCATGATCAGTTACATAACTGTATCCCAAATTATAAAGTTTAATTTGAATTTAGTTTAATTTTGATTTGTTGTATTCACAGCATGTGTGTAACCAAGTCACTCACCAGCTATAATGATTATAACTTGAGTGATGGTCGGGTAAATAAAAATTCTGTATATAGCAATAGATATCTTTATTTACCATTTAAGATAATACCTGCTTTTTACATAAAAAATTATGAATTTATGAAAATCAACACTATTATGAAATATTTGTAAAATGGAATGACTTTTGTTATGGCGTCGTAAAAAAAGAAAAAGGGGCAGGGGGTTAACTCTGTACTTAATATATTTTAGTTTAGGAAAGGGGATAACCTTCGAAGTATTGTGATACAGACAAGTATATAATGTAGTGGACTAGTGGTAACTGAATTGTATATATACCACAGTAAAATAATAAATTAAAAAAAAAAAGGTTTTTGCTGAAGTCATCCAGTGTTTACTTATGAAAGAAAATTCATATTCAGCTTACATTTTCACCGGTACCACTGCACTAATTTAAGTCAACTAGGTTCAAATAATAAGCATCATTAGAATTACAGCACATAAATTTTTGAAAAGAATTTCTATACTCTATTTTTTCTTGAAGGGGGGGGGGTGTTATTGGAAAGAAATGAAAACCACAATTTAGAGTTTTGACAAAACCTAGAACCAATTGACCTTTTTATTACAAGTTTATATTTAAAGAATATCTAAAATCAATACCGTCTCTACTTTGTGTTGTATACTTCTGTTTTTAGAATGAAATTCGCCACTTTGAAGCCAAACTCGGAAAGAAGCAGAAACAGAATTGGATGAGCTGATACAGAATTAGACAGGAAAAACGTGTAAATAATACATTTAGTAAAAACGTTTACTTTTTAAAATAAAATGATAAACTAAACCATTGAGATCTCTTGGAATTTAATTGATTCCAATAAACATGCTTTGTATTCATCATTGCTCAAGCTCAACTAGAAATGGTTCTTAGTAAGTATCTGAAGGCAAAGCTGTATAATATTATAACATTTTAATTTTATCACTTTTTCAGATTATCATTATGAGAATACATCATTACAGTACAGACCATTGATGCTGGAAGTGAGTGGATAGTGTTACCGGAGACTCCGGGATCCAGAAAATAGATCCATAAATTGTACAATGTATTCATGAAAGTGGATCAAATAAAAATGTTCAATCCAAAAGAAACATTCTTTGTTTGTCTGTTAGCATTTTTTATTGATGTAAATCTAACAAGCTAATTCAGAGAATTTGTGTCCCCCGCTTATGGAAAAAGTAAACCTTGCGCAGTTCGGGGCGGGTGTGGGGGTGGGGGGGGGGGTCGGATCCCCCTAATTGAATTTGTAGAATTTTTAAATGTATACATGTATAATGAAGCAAATAAAATATGTCAATATTGATATAATGATTTGATTATGTATATAGAAGGTTCATTTTATGTGGATTATTTATCACAACGTAATGATGATTTTATGAGTTTGTACAAGCTAGACCTCATAATTTTTTTTCATTTCACTTGCTGAATACTATCATTTAGTAAAAAAAAAGAATTTCGGAAAAGAAAAAAATGATCGTCCGAGAATCGAGCCCGTGACCTCTCGCATGTGAAGCGGGAGACATACCACTGCGCCACGGAACTGCTGTATAATTTCGACCATTATATGCAAATATGAAGTCACATACATGTATATATTCACGTTTGATATCGTAAAAAATTTACACAAAACATTGTGTCTAATTCAACCTTTATTAAACAGTTCTGGTAGATGTGATAGGAATATAAATTCTGCCGAAAACCTGTTTTATACGCAATAACTCTCCTCATGCCCCTGTGCTAAAAATAGCGACATGTAATACTATAAATACTTATAAAACAAACGGGGCGGGACACTTTGAGAGAGGTCCTAGGGAGTTTTGGTATAAAATACATTGCATAAGCTTCAGATCTTCTTGAAATACCGCCCGGAAATGATAGTGTTACACACAAAGAGAATGTATAAATTTACGACCTTTAACTTTGATCTTTTGACCTCAAAATCAATAGGGGTCTTCATAAGGCCACGGGGAGTTGTCATGTAAAATTTCATTGCAATAGCTCAAATGGTTCTAGATATACTGTGTGGAAAGGAAAGTGTTATAACAGACAGAATTTTTTTATTTATGACCTTGACCTTTGACTTTTTGACCACAAAATCAATAGGGTTCTTCTTTAGTCCATAGGGAGCAACTGTTGCTATGCTTAATTTCACTGCAAAAGCTCAGAGGGTTCTTGAGATATCGTGTGGAAACGAAAGCGTTCCAGACAGACAGAAAGATGGACGGACGGAAGGACAAACGGACAAACTCGGGAGGGGTGTGTGGTTAAACATTAGGGTACGTTGAGAAAAAAGTTGGTTGGGGGATGTCATCCCCCCTACCCAACCCAAACCTGATGCTACATGCCTGATTGACATGGTTTTACTTTATAATTATGTGAGCTGTCATAGTGACTCTCTTTCATAAACAAGAATTATTGTGAGCAAGCTAATAAAATGATACCAACCCTCCTGCTATTGCATTAAATGTTTTTTTTTTTTATAAAAAAGGTCTAAATACTAATTTGAAACCTTTTAAAATTTTGCTAGTGCAGTTATACATACCAAAAATGACTATGACAAATACTCAAGTCATAGGTAGTGAAACCGTTGTGTTGAGCACAAACTTTCCCTTCATTCGAAGTTAAATATGTAAATGTGCCAAACTCATATAGTACACTTTTACTGCAATGACCTTGAAAATATGTCCTTGAGTCAAGGGCAAACATGTTCAAATGAATTTTGGTCAAGGTAATGACAAACCTACAGCTTAAAAATAATTCCCAAGATGAAACCAAGTCTTTTCATTAGAATGTTACAGAATGGGCAAAGGTTGCACTTTTCTTCTATCAATGACCTTGAACTTGTTCAAATGACCTTGAGTCAAGTTTTTGACACATCTCTCGATCGCAAGCAATCTTAATATCAATTATGAACTTTCAGTGGCACTTCATTGAAATGTTATGGACAAGTCAAAATTTTACATACATATGGATTGGTGAACAAGGTGATTCCTACCCCCCCCCCCTTTTTCCAAGTTTCGTTTGTGAGGAATATAAAATTCCTTTTGAAATTGAATGTGCATTTATTTATTAACACTAGTAAAGTTATGAGTATGCTTTGATCAGAACCAATATGGCCAATATAATGGACACTGAACATGTATTCAAATTACCCCCACCCCTTCAAAAAAGCTTATAAATGCCAGATTTTCACACATTTTAACCATTTGTAACTTTTTTCTGCTAAAGTTGCCTGCAAATTTTATTGAAAAGATATGACATATAGATAACCCCTAACAAGATCATACCATTCATTTTTCCAGCAGTGGTTGTAGATTTTGTGAATAAAGTGATAAACATATGTAACTTTTTTCAAAATTAATAAGCATTGACGCCATGTTCTTTTCCCGTTGTCATGGCAACAATATAACTACGGAAATTTTGTTTTTCCTATTTTTTGAGAATAAAATAATTCCATCTTTTAACAAATAAAGTAACCAAAATACCTTATCTTATCACGTTCAGAAAACATATTCGTAGAAAAATGTCTAAAAATCATTGATTTTCATAAGGATTTATGAGCCAGTTGCTAAGGAAA